GTCTAGTGGGCCATGCGCTGTGCCATTTGGGGCCACTACAGAAGCGACGACGGGTCCTGCATAGAATTACGACGAGCCGGCGCAGCGTTTGTAGGCACGCTGAATTCGATTTACTAACCGCGTGCTTGCATGCTAAGTCTCTTTATTTCAGGTGGTGGGTTTACAGTTTTTACCTTAATGCTTTTCTTTCTCGTATAAATATCTCCCTGTACGCTATTTCATTAACTTGCACACATCGCTTCAGCCAATTGTATTCGATTTCCATAACATTTTTGTGTTCGTGGCATTCCGTGAACTATACTTCCTGACCTCGTGCACTTACCTAGGATCTGTTTGTAAACAACTTATTACATATGCTATTTAATTAAGGTTTATGTCACCGTTTCCTTATGCATTAATCGAGTTTTTCTCTTTCTCTTTTTCTTTCTCTCTCTCTCTCTCTCAAGTGTTTGGCTGTTGTTTGATATCCCCGGTGTGGCTGCGCTTGATGTGCATGTTGACAAGGTGCCTACCTGTCTATTACCCACTACCTCGTCCATACTGGCTCCAGGAGACAGTTGGTCGTTGCTGGAGGGGACGGGGTGCACGGTCCTTGTGGCCGTGTTAGGCTCGAAGAGTGGTTCCATGCACTCAGTATGGAGCGGACTACGGTTCAGCCACCGCCTTGTGTGCGCTTGATTCCCCAAATACAGTGTGCTTGTGTTTGCCTGTGAAGGAGTGTGGGCCGGCTCCGTTGATGAAACGTGGCTCCCATCCGCATGCCTCCCGGTCTTATTCCTTCGGGTTTACACTGGATATGGGGTGTGTGGTTGGAGCTGTGGGTGGTGCAGCGCAAGCCATCCATGGTCCCTCTGTAGGCGCAGGCGTCCTGTGGCTTGCCACAGTGACAGGCAAATCCGAAACCGGATGTCGCCAACCATAGAAGCTTTTTGTTGTTCGCAAAGTTACAGGCCAAATGTTGTTGGTGAGTCAATTTGTCCCCACGGACAAGCATGTTACAGTGGTTGCGCTGGGTCACACAATCGCTCCATGTATCGGGACAAGGACGAGCTCTGTAAGTATGCCAAGTTGCATTCCTTATTGGCATGCATTTGCGAGTTCTACTTCTGATGAAAGACGAGGGATTGTTGGAGTAAACGCCGTTTGTTTCCGAAGCAGTTGAGAGTAAATTGCTGAGGCTTCCAACAAACTGAACCCAGGTGCTATCAGATGAGTCACGTCACAAGAACCCAATCGGTCGTCTCAACAAGGTTATTCAAGAGGTGGTAATGTGTGATAGCGAGTGTTAATACTGTGTGTTCCTCAGGATATTCAGCGGAACACATATAAAGCGTAGTGACGTGGTCGCTTAACCCCAGTGGGGTGCCTATAAATGACCTGTTGATCATGAGTTCTTCATTTGTAAGTACGAGGTCAAGTATCGATGGTTTGTTATCAGCTCTGTACCTGGTAGGTGAGATGATGTGATTGTAGAGCAGGATACTTGTGATAATGTCTTGCAGTTCGGTCTTGCATGTTTCGCTGGGGATGCCGAGGTTTCCAAGTCGTGCACGTTGAAATCGCCGGCGATGAGAACGTGGATATAAGTTGCGAGCAAGCATTACTTTAATGATGATATTAGGTGGGAATCCATCTCTGGGTTGAACGATGGTGAGCGATATATGACTGCCACAAAACAGTTGGCGTTGTGTCTGAGACGCAAACGGCACCATAGCGAATCGGTGACCAGCGTCTCCGGATCACACATTGGTTTGCATTTTAAGTCGTTACGATAGTATAGGATAGCAACGCCTTCCTTGCTAGGACGGTCGTGTAGGGACAAGGACATACCCTGCATCGTGATCTCGGCACCCGTAATCCCTGAGTGCAACCAAGTCCCGGTTATGGAGATGAGATCCCAAGCGTTTGTTGCCTGGCGCAACCGAAGCTCGGTGAGTTTGCTGAGGAGGCCTTGGGCATTCCAGCGCATACAGGAAAGTGTTTCGGTTCTCAGAAACGATCCGAAGCACTAGGGGCTAGGATGATAGGTTGTGACGACCTTTGTATGGTCGGTCGCTAGCCGCTTTTTGGGATATTATCAGCGAGTCGCTTGGAGTTGGGTTCGGTGGGATTGTGATTAGCTTCTCTGACAACTCAATTTGTACCATGAATAGGGAGTGGCTGCAGGATTGCACAGGAAGATCCTGAGTTTCTTCAGACTTGCTTCCGGTGTGAATTTTGGATAAGAGCACTAATTCCTTTGCCTGATGTGGTGGTGCTTTAAGTCGGACGACAGTTCCGCTCTTTGCCCGGAGCTCAGTTGGCAGTCTGTTCCGAAGTGAATGCCAGCGTTCGACTAGCCTAAGTGCCATCTGCCTAGTTTGTAACACCACCTTAATTATCCTTGGACCGCACCCTTCGCAGCTTTCTGATCTCGGCAGTTTCGAGAGAGAAGTAACAACAACGTCACACAAGAGCAGGGTCTCACGAATAGCGCGCCACTGCTCCTGGTCGTGTGCCTTTGTTTCGAATTCATCATGCTCGTAGATTGGGGGACGCCGTGGACAAAAACGGTTCTGGCCATGGCGTTTAGCCGGAACTCTGCCTCGCTTGCTTGCGCTCGCTCCAGGGAACGTCTAGAAAGACGCGGATCAAACCGATTTCGTTCTGGAAACAAGTAGTCGAAGCAACGCTGCTTCTGCATCATCGACAGAGTTTAGCACAACCCGAAGTAGTCTGACTTTGCCATAATGCTTGGAATTCAGATGGCGGGTGATCCTTGTCAAATTGGAGGGTTTAATCTGAATACCGAAAAGATTATTTATGAGATTCCATTGATTCAGGTCATCCATCTGATTCCCCTTAAAAGAATTCAATGTTGACTCAGAAACGTTGGTACATATTATAGGTAGGGCATCCAGTTGTTTCTGAGTGCCTTTCTTGGGAGTGTGAACCGTAGTTGTGAGACCCAACGATCTGCTGTGCATCCGCGCAGCGTTGCCTTTCACAGTAGTTATAGGTGTGAGTATAGAAAGAGCAGCGTCTGAGTTTGGAATGCACTCTGATGCAACAACGGCCCAGCTGCCACTGGAATTTGCAAGTTTCCTGGGTTTCAGCGACATCTGGAGGGAGGAAGTGAATTTGGGCGAAACTGTTGTAAATGCGCTGGGGGTTAGGTGTCCGGGCGATTTGTATTATTGACAGTACTTGCAGGTGTAAGTTTATTAGTACAGAATTCAATGTTGTTGTGCTGGTTTGCAGTGGAGTTAAGCGGAGGAGTCTTTGTCAGACCTACTGCAATGGTTGTTCCTACCGGAGCTATTTTGATGCCCAGCATCTTCTCAACTACGTCTGTAAGTCTCTCATACTTCTGAGACAGTGCAATTACGATTTTAACTAGTGGGACAGTATTATAGTTCACACAGAACCAAAATGAGTTGGGCCTGCCACTGATCAGCCTGCACTCGCCTGGTGTGATTTTCCTGCATTTCGCATGGAAATAGGTTTGGCAATTTCCACAGAAAATTCCTATGTTGACCATCTTATTGCGCGTTCCACAGGCGCTTTTAGGCACCGCGGCTGGGTTATTTGCACTCATCAGGCACGTGAATGTGTAATGGTTAGTCGTACCCAGGACCCTGGACTGACTGATCCGGCGTCAAGGTTAGCCCGTCGAGACAGTGGCTGTTCCAATCTCTCACTCTTGTGGCCGCGCAGATAGTGGTATTCAGCGGTGCGCACACAAGCACGCGAAGGTTCAGCTTATATTGATGGGGTCGCGTTACACGACGACGCAAGCGGGACGTTGGCAAAGTACCCTAAGTGCCTCGGACGCGATTTTCAATAGTCGAATGACGCAAAATGTCTCGTAACTTTGTTATGCTGTCGCTTGTATGGATGGTTACAGGGTCGTTAGAGAGTCCTCAGCTCTTCTACCGAATGAGACCAAAATTATCCTCGAACAACCAGGGAGTGATGTAATTTCACGAGCAGAACTCGAAGGAGAATGAGAACGGGAGTAACAGTATGCTCCACAGAAGGTAAATCCCTGAGATGTAAAGCACTGAGTAGCGATCGTCGAACTAGTTTGAACGAGCACACGCAAAAGGAGGTGTGTGAAGAAATGGTGATCACAGCGAGTGAGGCGAGAGCCGATAAAGTGCGGCCGTACCGCAGTCGTTAACAGAAGTTCTTGGTACAATATGTAATGTGAAGTTAGCAACTGCATTAGCAACCATCGACTTACATGAAAATAGTCTATTACCTACGACACAGCACGAGATTACTTTTTCACTCACTACGGTATCGGTCATGAAGTTGAATCATCAGAATCTGGTTTATTTGTGAATTTTCCACGAAATTTTACCATGTATTGACCTAGATTCTCACAATGGACTAGTCGAATTCAACAAAATTATCTAGTTACTTCCCAAACACTGCATGCTTGACCAATGAACTTCGGAAATGGCGTAGCTGAGCGAAACATAAATGCGATGAGTTAATTGATACTATTGGAATAGAGGTAAGTAGTAACGTAGGCCAGACGATAAAAACAAGCTGGTGTTCACACAAAGAGAAATCTTGTAGGTCGCAGGTGAATGCGCGTTATGAAGAACGACAGAAGCATCGCTTGCTTATCCTCCGAAAAAGAGAGCATGCTACCTCTGGGAAGTGGTTCGCACATGAGTGTAATTGTTTTAGGCATATATAATGATTGGTAGACGTAATAAGCAAATTCATCAGCAACTTCTGCTTTCTTACATATAAAAGTGAGTGAGAAAATCACCTCGTATTTTAACTATTCGGCCAGAAATATGATCGGTTGAGTTCGCCTAATATAAACAAGAGAAGCGAGTGCGTCAAGATTGAAACGTAGCCGCCTCAAAACCGATTTGTATGCCACACATTCCAGTTGTGTAAGCAACATTACTTTACGTAGCATCACGAAATGATATATGTACGCAGGTAGCTACGTGCTCACCATAACAGTAAACGGCCCAAACGAAAAAGGCGATACGTACCGCATTTATGCCGGACAGTTGCTGAAACAGCTGAATTACGCATGCAATCAACATGGGCATACGCAAGTCGCGTTGAGTAAATAGTTGGGTAAACTTGAACTCGGGTTGACTTTTTGCTTGCTCCACATCTTTGCGTAATTCGCAGATAAAGGTATCCACATCCTCTTTCGAATTGAGCTGCTTGAATGCTTTGCGTGCTCCGGCTTCATCATTTCTTTTCATCATAAGAAAACGTGGACTCTCGGGACAGAATGGTAGAACTAGGAGAGAGATGGCAGCGGGTACTGCACAGAGTCCGCATGCGATCGGCCACAACTTGCTATGGTTCAGCGTTTCCGTCAGCGTGACCACATATGCGACCACAATGCCCATGGCGATACCCAACTGGTTACAGGCACCGACCGCCCCGCGCAGTCTGCTCGGAGCGACTTCAGTCAGGTACATCGGAGCAACACCCGTCGTGATGCCACAATTGAGACCCAGAATGAAACGGCCGATGAAGAGTAAGACCGGTTGGTTTGTGTGCACACAGAGTGCACACAAAATAGCTCCCAAAATGGCAAATGGATGGTTGAACAGCAGTCCATTTCGCCTATGATAGGGAAAAACGACAGGGAGGAAGGACATTTGTTAGCTTGTCAATGCCCGTACAATAGCAGTCAACCATTAAAGTTTTGTATGCTGCAAACAGATTGTTGTAACAGACATTTAGCTGCTCCCCACCGAAAAAATGATAATGAAGGCGCTTTATGCAGGGAAATCACGGTATTTTTTAAATACATGGAGTCATGCAAATATAGAACTTAGCTGCGCAGTAGAACAGCATCGGCAAAATCGATGATTACAGTTTGGGTGCCTATGAAGTACAGCCTAGCACAATACATTACACCATATCATCATGCGCGTTGGACGGAATTCCGATACAATTGCCACATGTGGATAAAGGCCGAGCTTGCAGTGAACTTACCGGACAAATTGATCCTACTTCAGCTAATGCTAAATTAATCTGCATGGAATAACAATGATTAGGTAGCATTCTGACGTCATTATTATAAGCATTGTGCATCACAGTGCACAAATTCTTGTAACCCGCAAAAGCAAGTTCGGAGGAATTTGGTTGTGCATTCAATTTGTGCACGCCGCATCCACTACATGCCGAAAATGTAGAAACTATGACACTTTGAGCAGCAAACATATACAATATGTTCAGTTTCCCCAGCTCATTCAGCGACCTACCCATTGGTACAAAATACAAGGGGCTGGCCTGTCCATCCTACCATCCGATGCTAGTGAATAAGGTTCGGCATGAGGCGAGTCACTGTGCTCATTGAGATCATATCTGTGGTGCCGGAATCACGAAAAGTATTTCAATTGAAATCATCCTCGCGTCCCTGCTAGCTTCCAGTGGCTGTCACAAAGGTTCCTTGGCAGTCTAGACGAGGAACGTTACCGCAGTCGCAAAGCACTAGAAAATGCGTGTACATATAAGTCTTCGTCTGCGAGTGGATTGTGAACACCGAGCGTTTACATGTTCACAAGTGAGTGGCCAATGCTTCTCCAACTAGGTCACCCCACTTATCATTGCAATAGCGACCTACGGCCTGCATCACTTATGTTTGTAACAAATACAGACAGTAACCGCTCACAAACAGAGCCTTTCGGTTGACTGTTATAACCGTTGCCACCTTTGTTGCAAACCACTCGCTTTGTACTGCTTCCTAATCAGTGAAACGTTCGGCTGTCGCGTAATACGCCCTGTGAGTGAGAGCAGTTGTTATATTTCGGAACCGACACCATGTGAGACTTAGTCGCCATCTGTTTTCCACTTCATAGTACAGAGACGAAAACGGACTCCACAAAGCAACCCGAAACGCTGAGAAAAAAGACAGTGACCTTTAGTGGGTGCGTTGCAGGAGAGCCAAGCGACCCCACAAAATTTACATATCACCGCCCGCGTCATCGAGCCGCGCGGCGCAGGATGAATTTCCTGCACCCAACACAGTAGATGCACGGCGAGCGCAGCAGGTACGGAATTGAAGGGATTCTTTCTGTATCTCAGCCCTCGAGATAGTGAATCATTGTCTACCGTAAGTCTGATAAAAGTGATCGAATTTTCAGGCGTATCACTTTTAACGGTCGCACAAATTTGCGTGACACGGGAACACGATAAATTGCCAATTGTCCAATGGTAAATGTTGGTTTGTCAAAATTTCGCTTCCCATTCACAGGGGTAAGGAATGCAGACACCCATGGGCCTCTTACCCGCAATTGTTTTATATATATTTTTAGGCTTCTGATTCTTATTAACATTTTTTATTTGCAGTCATCCCAGAATGATTCGAGTGTATGTGCGGAAGAGTAAGAGAGGAGAATATGGGGCACAAAACCTGCAGTTAGCACTGGGGGACTGGAAAAATGACATTTCCTTTAAATAGACTTATAAGTTCAAATTTGACGAAGAACTTTAAGGCGACACAGAGACAATGAATTAATTGCATTTTGCAATGTCAGTTTTTGTTTTTCTAGCCTTTGCATCTAGGTATATATTTCTGGGTAGTTTCAGAACAGATCATCAACAGAAGTTGAATAGGCACTTAGCAAAAAGATATAGAGTACGGAAGCACTGCTGTTTGGTTCGACGACTATAGACGTCCGACGTCTGGCATAAGATCTCGCAGAAAAGATGAACCTACCTCATCGATTCAACAATGAATCTAAATCTGCATATCAAGTTGCTTAGAGGGATTTCTAGTACCAAATTATTCTATTTCACTTAGAAATCCTAAAGCAGTCAGCCATTCTCGTGTAATTGGATTCAACAATGCAAAAGTAGACAGGTTTTACAACTATTTGTATACTGTGTTGAGATCCCACTAACTTAGAAGAAGTAGGATAAAGAATATGGATGAGACTAGTTTTTCGTGTTTTCAACAGCCAACACAAATTTTGGCTCAGAAAGGAAAACCCAACATAGGGAAGAGGACAAGTTCTGAATGGGGAAATATGTGACCGCCATTTTTGCCTTTAATGCGATGGAGGCATACATTCCGCCAATGTTTATATTTGTGAGGAAACGGTGGGATCCCAATCTGTTAAAGGGAGCACCTGCCGAATCAACTGGCTTTTGCTCAGATAATGGATGGTCCGATGTTGAGCACTTCACAAAATGGCCCAAATATTTCATGACTAACGTCAAACCTTCGATGACAGAAACTGCTTTGTTAATACTCGATTACCATCGAAGTCATAATACCCTTGCTGCTGTAGAATTGGCGGCTGCTAGCCATGTTACTATGCTGAAATTGCCACCACATAGTATATAATGTCACCAGCCCCGCGATCGCACGCATTTCTAGCCCTTGAAGTCGGCATCCAATACCTTTGCTGATCACTGGATGATAAAATCCTCATCAACGAATTTTGTTTCTTGATCTGGCCTCAATAGTTGGACATGCTTACAACAAAGCAGCAACTGTGGTTACCGCTACAAAAGGCAGTGAGTCCTGAGGGATTTGGCCGTTTAATCCATTTGTTTTTAACGAGAACAATTTTATTGCTGTCCAGTTTAATGAGCCACAGGATATATGTGGCAGTCAAGTCATCCATGTTTTTTTTGACTTCAACTACACCCCAAATGAACTCCTCATCAGCATACGCTTCTACTAAATGTAGTCCTATCATTCCAACTTCAGTAGCTACATATCATGAGCACATGCCTTCATCATCATCCATGATCTCATCTGCTTCCGGTAGGTCTGCTTCTTCAACGTCAGTTGACGTTCAAACTTCAAGCCTTCTGGTAATACGACGCGATCAGTGTTGACTGAAATTCCGGTCACTGAAGGCTTGTGTGTCATTCCGAAAGTAGTCATTCCAAGCAAGCAGAAAGGAGGCCGCAAAGGTGCAAATGCTGATGTACTAACAGCGTCACCATTTATAAGTCTGCTACAAGAAAAAAGCAAAGCAGCAACAGTCGAAAGGTGGCAAGAAGAAGGCCAGAAAAGTGACGAAGTCAAAACCGTTCTCTTCATCGTACGAGTCCGATAAACGATTCTACTTGGTCAGCGGGGAAGAAGTTGTTCGTAGTCGACCTAGTCAAATGTGGGTCGCCTGCGTTGTGTGTCAAATGTGGGCTTACAAGGATTGCACTCCAAAAATTTCTAAAGCCTATGTGTGCCACACTTGTGAATCAGACTCTGGTTAGTAAATCTGTAGTTTTATTTAATGCATCTGAGTATTCTCGAACTACAAATCTTGTCTGCCGATTTCAAAGTACCTACATTGTATTGTTAAGTGACGATCTGGGTAGCCCCTTGTCTATATGCCATGACTGTATTATAATATGCTACAGCGCTATCTTCACTTGTTCCCTGCATTTCTGTGTGCATTCTTAAGCAGAGACCAGATGCGTTAAGATGTCCACCAGTGGGCATCGTATTCCAAATCGGTTGGCGTTTTACCCAAAATGTAGGGTAAGATGACCACCACCAGAAAAACTATTTCTCTGCAAATCTAAAACAGTTAGTACCCTTCAGTAGTTTGAACAACGAAATGAGAAGACGAATATTGGCAGATGCTAGCATTTCGTATTATCTCATCAGTACCAATACAATAACAGGGAAATCCTTTTATATGTCTTACAGGGCACAGTCAAGCCAATCAAATTTATGGTTGTGGTCATTGTTGATGGGATTAGGTCCACGGCAACCGCAGGTTGACAACTAATTGCTTTTGGACACACAAAGCTGGTCTAATTCGGCTTATCGCGACGGCCTCGGCAAATCGTAAAAGGCGTGCATTGGTATGACGTAACAAGATCCGGAACGCTGATAAGGGATTAACCCGGTGACGAGTCGCAAAGATGTGCCTGCCTATGGAGAACGCTGGCGGCTTACGTGAGCACGTATCATCGGGTGGATTGAGTAACTTCACGCTGAACCCAGTTTAGTAAGTGTTCCTTCACTCTGAAATCTAAAACCCGTTCGGTCCTGCCGATGTAACTGATACCGCAGTCACACACGAATTGGTAGACACAATGTGATTTGGCGCCGACGCGTTCATCTTCCTTTACTGAAGGTAACGGCATCTTTCGGGTTCTGTTGATTATCACCGCCTTCGCAGCACAGTATGTACGCTGAATGGCCGGGACAATGCGTTTGGTTATTCTTCTCGCTGCGGTGTCACCCTTGAATGGTAGCTCAATGTACACCTTCTTCTTAGAGGCTGTCAACACCATCTCCTCGGGCGGTCTAACTTGGCTATGTTTGTCTATGAATCGCTTTGGGTAGCCATTCTCCATAAGTGTTTTAGTGATCAGCTCAAACTCCTCAGACAGGCAGTCGTTGGAGCAGATACGTCTGGCCCGAGTGAATAATGTTTTTACTAGCGCGTGCTTGTGGGCCATCGGTGAGAAGCTAGTGAAGTGTAGGTATTGGTCGGACCACGTTGGTTTCCGGTATACAGATCGCTTAATCAGTCCATTATCCCTGCGACTCATGAGAATGTCTAGATACGGGAGACGGCCATTCGATTCGAATTCATAAGTCACCTTCAGGTTGGCCTACTAGTTGTTCGATTTGCATCTTCGTGGAACCAAAAACAAGGATATCATCTACATATCGTTTATAATACGGCAGCTAAGAAATTTGTCCACTTAGTTTCCTATCAAGCATCGACATGAAAAAATCAGCCAGTACCGGGCCCAACGGACTACCCATAGCTACTCCGTCAATTTGGCGATATGTAGTGTGCTGGAATCGGAAAGCGATATTCTCTGTGCAAAGTAACAGGGACTGTCTCAGGAGGTCAGCCGGTATTGGTAGACGAAAATTCTCCTCTTCTGTCAGATGGCAAATGTAATCAACTGCCTCAAGCAAGGGGACATTAGTAAATAACGACTGGACGTCCACGGAGCACATAACCTTGTCGGCTAGGCTGATTTGGTCTAGGTCTTCGATTATTTCAAAAGAGTTCTTAATGCTATGCGATTTGTAGTGCTGCCTCAGTGGCGCAAGGATCCGAACTTACCAGCGAGCCAATTTGTGCTGCGGGGAATTTACCATCGACAAAATGGGTCTTAGTGGCATGCCCTGCTTGCGAGAAGAATAACCAAACGCATTGTCCCGGCCATTCAGTGTACATACTGTGATGCGGAGGCGGTGATAATCAACAGAACCCGAAAGATGCCGTTACCTTCAGTAAAGGAAGATGAACGCGTCGGCGCCAAATCACATTGTGTCTACCAATTCGTGTGTGACTGCGGTATCAGTTACATCGGCAGGACCGAACGGGTTTTAGATTTCAGAGTGAAGGAACGCTTACTAAACTGGGTTCAGCGTGAAGTTACTCAATCCACCCGATGATACGTGCTCACGTAAGCCGCCAGCGTTCTCCATAGGCAGGCACATCTTTGCGACTCGTCACCGGGTTAATCCCTTATCAGCGTTCCGGATCTTGTTACGTCATACCAATGCACGCCTTTTACGATTTGCCGAGGCCGTCGCGATAAGCCGAATTAGACCAGCTTTGTGTGTCCAAAAGCAATTAGTTGTCAACCTGCGGTTGCCGTGGACCTAATCCCATCAACAATGACCACAACCATAAATTTGATTGGCTTGACTGTGCCCTGTAAGACATATAAAAGGATTTCCCTGTTATTGTATTGGTACTGATGAGATAATACGAAATGCTAGCATCTGCCAATATTCGTCTTCTCATTTCGTTCTTTGCAAATCGTTGCAACCGCTACAGATATTACCTGCGGTGAATAAATATGGTAAGCTAACGGCGTGACAAACACAGCAAGGTAGGAATTTCACAAATATTACAAATAAAGCCAAAGGTATATACATAAACCCTTAATTGGTTTCGTCTTAGACCCTTTCCTCTTATGTTTACGAGAAATCTGTTTAACGTCCATAAATATCAAGGAAGATGTACAAACTACCCACCTCGTTTTGCTAGCAGAGCAGTATTCGCCGGATACAATTGGCTAGGACTTTTTGTAATGTCTCCACTGCGATCGTGCGACATTCGTTTGATATTCTCCCTTTCAGTTCTTAAAGACAATTGGATCTTATTTCATAAACTCTTCGTTTCAAGTACCCCCCCCCCATAGGAAGAAATCCAGGGGTTCAAATCAGGCCACATTAATGGACTTACCTGACCGATCCAACGGTAACCGAAGGGGCTACTAATGAAAATCCGGCCACGTTTATCAAACGTACCATCAAAGTGCTGTACCAATCTGCCTCGCCTTTGTTTAGTCTTAACAAGTACTCTGCAAATGCCTGTTTTCTTTTACTCATGCGCGAGGGACAAGGGGGCGGGCGGAAATTAATCGGCTGTCATTGTGCATCAGTCACTTAGTCGGCAGAATTCGAATGTGTTCAGATACTCGCGGCTGAGTCTTCGGGGGTATTACAATCAGTTCATTCGTACACTTTACGCGTTGGGAACAGTTTGCCGGATCAATCTACGCGTCGATTAAGATTAACTACGGGCGCAGCTTATTGCGTCACATCAGAAAATAGCCTGATTTTAGTTACTAGCTGCAAAATCAGAATAGGGGACGATGAATCTATCACCGATCGAAGGCGGGTTATTACGAGGAGCGCTTTTACGGTTTAGCCAGATGGTCTGTACAGCCTCGCAGTTAGTGCACGGCTAGGCTCCATCTCGGAAGCGGGCATAATTGCCCCTCGATGACGGTACCGAGGACGATTGTCAACATGACATACTTGGTACCATGAAACCGTATCACAGAGGGGACCAAGCTGTTGATGACGTGGCAACAGCGTTTTTAAGACGCGGAGGTGACGGCTATCTGATAACATTGTCATCGAAATAGCATCGTGTAAACGTCCCACAGTACAAGTGTTGCGGAGTTACAGGTTGAAAAAGGACATTCAGCGCGATATTTCCGTGGGACCACGATGTCTTTACAACTAATGTACACCATCTGTAATTCGCATCTGCTTTGTCCCCCAACATAAAATCAAGTGCGCTTCTTCAGTTATTTTCAGAATACATGAAAGTAAGAACTAATGTTGGTTTGAAAAACGTGCATTCACCACATCCGGACTCAGGCGGACAGTCGTCATACGTCCGGAAAAGCAGCTTAGAGTTGTTCAATGCTCTCTGAAATCATCAACAGTGTCCGATCTGCAATAAATCGGAATACTTGTAGCTCGGGTGATCTGTTCAGATTTTGTTCTGTTCTCCGAGCTGAACAGTTTCGTTGCATACCCACCAACACGCTGAAAGGCACCCTATCTAGACCGAAAGGGAAGACGAGAGCACACGAACGCCGGAACGTCATTTACAAGATACAGTGTAAAAATTGTGATAAGAACTATGTGGGCCAAACAGGAAGAAAATTGTCTACAAGGCTACAAGAACACAAACGAGCCTGTCGAAACCATTACCCATCATCCTTGGTCTAGACACACGTTGATGAAGAAGGGCACGCATTTGATTGGGAGAAAACAGAGATACTAGCGCAAGGAGAGACCAAAAAAGGAAGCGAATTCCTTGAAGCCTGATTTTCTACAGTCAGTTCAATAAACCGACGCATCGATTTAGATCCGATATACAGGCAGCTGCGAGAAAGAAGTTAACGTGGATCATTTGGCACATGAGTCGGAAAGAGGCGGCGCCCACACTGGGAGCTAGCAATGGTCACGGGACCTGAATCGAACTGAGCAGGTTCAAATGTCACTCGCTTGTCGGTAAGAATCGACAAAACAAATTAGTTTGCTTATAACGCACTGAGGAAGTCACCACGACTGGTGATGAAACGTCTGCAACGAAACTGTTCAGCTCGGAGAACAGAACAAAATCTGAACAGTGTCCGATCTACCTATTTCCTGTGAGGCTAGAACCTTCGACTCAACTCATACGGGTCCGTGATTCCAGTCACTGGGCCACAGGGGAATGTAACTGCTGCAATGACTGTGACTGGTTGAAACATAGCATGACTTCCCCCACTAATTTACTACTTACTAACTTGCGCAAGGAAGGATATTCCCCCCGAGAGCTAGGAATTCCCAAATTTAAGTCGCCAGTAGCCTATGCCCTAACAAGTAGTCTAGGCCACGTGTTGATTGTCAATGAATCGTAGATGCATGCATGTGGCTTGCATTGAGTGCATCACAAACGCACTTAGCCATACGGGCATCGGAAATAACAATAGGCGGCTCCCTCACACTTGCGGCGTCTAGCATTGCACAACTCAACCGTCTGCTTCAGGAACAAAGTGCAAAGACACTCACTAACAAGTCACTGCTTAAGGCCACTGAAGTTTGATAATTGACAACTCCAGTACTCGCATGAGATCAGCAACAACACAACTTAATGTGAAAGAAGAAAAGAATAAATTAGGGTTGTCGTTGGCGCAGTGATAAGTTAGCAAGCAACCCTGTTTGAATAGTGTAACATGTGGTTTTGCCTTACCAGAAGAGAACAGGAATATAGCCTATCCGCCTCCCCTCCTCTGAGAGACATACAAGGTCCTTTTCCATTCAAAACCCTCGGTTTGACTGACAATAATGAAGAATTAATTATCGTATCTGTAGTTAAAATTAAATAGAGATGACAACCATTAAAACCTTCTCCGGTTCCAGTCTCAGATTAAATATCATGTGGTAGCTCAGTTAGCACAATTAGGTGGAAGACAGCTACAAGGCCGATTAAATTCATGACACTAGTAGTCTCGTCATGAAGGATACTCGGTTTTACAATTGAAAAACGTATTAAGTGTGAGCATACAGATCATATCTAACTTACCTTCCCAGGATTTCGGCCACCCATCCAGAACCGAAAGCACCGATGGCGCTGGCGACCACGTAGGTTGTGCTCACTTGGGCATATAGGAATTCTGGGTTGATGGGACCATCCGTTGTCTGATTTTCAGCTAGATGAAGGATTGTTCGTCCAAGGAACATTTCAATATACTAAAATAAAACGGAGAGAGTAGCGAAATTTCTTCACAAATTATCCGGAGGTCGACAGCTTTACACTGCACAAATTTGTCTGCCGGTGGATGGTATTTTAAGCCATAAGAGGTGCATCTGAGCTAGGAATTTCCGGTTGAATAAAGGAAAAACCAATAGAGCTTTTACTTATCAACGTGTGAGAAATGTTAAAGTCCGCTAGTGTGTTTTCTTCGGCCTTCACTGAGTCGGTACAATGATTGACATGATGGCATCGGTGGGTGGGCCGAAATTGTATCCTGATGCCAATCCTCGTGGTTCTGCTTAGTTTAAATCTCTGTAAATAGTTTGAGCAGCCATAACTCTTATCCGTAGTGAGTCATTCCCCAATTGAATCAGTAATCACTTCCCCAGCAACAGATTCACACTTGTGCTGGTTTGAGGATTATCTACTAGTGTATGATAAAGAATGGGCTATTAAGATTTGAAGCGTACTGCAAGGAAATGACTGTGCTTATTGCCTTCATCACATATTCTGTGCACTGCCTTAAAAAACAAAACCATGTTCATTTTGCAGTCAAAGGTTATGACAAAACTTAAAATATTGTAGGTGTTCTGAACTGTGGACAGTTATGTTTGCGTGCGCCCTTTGATGAGGACCACGCTGTATATATTGTGTCATGTCCCTTCATTTAAGCCGCACCCATTTGATTCAGTCTGGTTTTAACAGTACTAACTCCCTTATGTAGCCGTTCTTAAAGAACAGCCTATCAACTACCCATAAAGCAAAGAAAAAAGAAGGTTGATTCGATACTACCACACGTTCAACAGATGATAGTTTGAAGTCCATCCTAACTAGGTGCATGCTTTACTGCTCGCAATTGTTTTGCCAAGATGAACAGAGATGGGCACACGGCGACCGATGAACCTGAGGTAAACCTTTGGTGTGGATTAAGAACAGAGTGGACTGAAGCACAGTGTCTTGGTGTACTCCAATAGCAGGCATACGGGTAAGTAAAATAGTCATCAATCTCTTCCCTCCACTTTTGACCAACGGAAAAGTACTGGATCCATTAGCGCCTTTATGCACCAACACCACACACACTCAGGACCTTAAAGTTTATTTGCAGAAAAATTTACGTAAAGCTATGTACAGTATGGTCAATATGTTTGGACCGATTCTTTTAATTCAGGCATGACTCGTACCTTTCAACGACGCAATTGCACGCAAGTGGGAAACCTCACATGCTCGTACGTATGCATCTGCGTTTGGGGGGAACGCAACCGCGTGCAAAGCCGCTGATCGTCAGCATCATCATCATCAGCAGCAGCAGCAACAGCGATATGTCAGCCATTTGAACTGATGCTTCCCCTGTCATACAACCATGAGGACCTATGAAATAAAGAATAAGAGGAGGGAGAGAAGGGGAGTTACCTGAAAACCTTAGTGCCCTAAGCAAACATTCAGGGTCAAGGCGCCTACACCTTGTGTCAACAACATACCGTAACCAACAGCCGGCTATCGGGCAAAGATAAGGCGGCATCGGCGAGATAGATTCCTTGCGGCTTCCACTGCCACGCGTCATAATCAGCCATTACTACGCAGATAACTCAGCATCAAACACACTTTAAACAGGCAACCCGATTAGGAGACGACAGCAGAGGCGCCACTGGTGTCTACTGCGAGCCATGTCCAGTAAAGTCTCGAGCCAAGCACAAGGCGAGTCACATAAACTCCAACTCGGAAGGCGAGACAGACCAGCGGCACCCAGTTTGGTCGTCAGTGACTTCATTTCACGCCGCCAAGTCAACTTCTGTCCACCTCGAGCCTTATGCGACTCTTCACCTGGCAGACTAAACAATGCCCTCCTAGGTAAGCGGTGCCCAGGCATACGTAGCACGTGCCCGAGCCAACGCAACTTATTCAGTGCTATTGTAGGGGCGCGAATCTCAGTTCACACGGAAATGCCCCGGAAGCAGCAGGAGATCGGGACTAACGCGGAGACTGGGAACGGGAATCGTCCACCCAGCTCGTGGCCTACGATGCAAGCCGGGAATGGGTCGTCAGCGACAAACGATACCGCGGCCACGCCGAGAAGAACAAGAGGCGACATGAAAGGGAGTCCGATTTTCCCAAGAGATATGCCTTTATCTACGGCCCCAGGAATCGGCCCGACCAGAGCAACACAGCCCCGAGCAAGTAAGTCGAGAGCTTTGGTACGAATCCAGTCTGGATAGGCTGCGACGCAAGGGAGCAGAAATGTAAGCGGAAAACGGCACATTCAATGTCCACGTCGGATCAGCCTAATGGCGCTTAGTGGACACCACTTCACTCGGCGGAACGTGGTGCGTCGTAAGTGAGAAACGCGGCTATATTTGTGTGTGTGCGTGGGACATGGGTGTGAACCTCTCAGCGTGCAATAAACAGCGTTTTCCCCTACCGTGTCGTTTTCGCTACACTATCTGTTGTTCTAGGGAGCTAGCATGATTATCACCACTTAGTACTCGTCTACGCACATCATCATTGCGGACACGCTGGTGCCATCCAACACCAGCAATGCTTTGCAGACAACGAGGATCAAAGACTTGAAGGCGCCTCAGATCCTCATACCGAAAGGACCAAGTCTCAGTACCATAGAGCAGAACGGCTCTCACTATGGCCTTGTATGCACGGCCTTTCTGACGGAGGAAAGCTCCCTTCTGGCGTCAAAGATGCCGCAGATTCAAAAAGGTAGCTCTGGCTTTTGCAATGCGTGAGCTGACGTCAGTTTTCATGCGCCCATCATTGCTGATGCAGCTGCCAAGATAAGTGCAATGATCAACCACCTCGAGTTCCTCGTTAGCAAGCGTCAAGGGGTCATCAAGTGGCTGGTGGCCCTCCAGCAACACTTTGCACTTTGAAGGTACGAAGTGCATACCAAATAATGGGACCACTCAGGATAGACTATTCAAGATTGATTGTGACGTCCCAACATCATCGAAAAGCAAGACCATATCGTCCACATAATCTAGGTCAACTAACCTTTTACCAGGCAGCACCTCAACGCCTATATCGTGAGATTCCGCAAGGGAACACTCTATGATAGAATCCATGACGAAATTAAACAAAAATGGGGAAATCGGACAACCCTGACGAACGCCACTTGTGGTCGGAAAGCTATCCGATAAGACACCGTAGACCCTGACGCGGCCTATAGTGTTCCAGTATAGAGCACGAAGGATGTTCACATATTTCGTGGAAGCACCTTCCCGCGCAAGTATTTCGAACAGAATCGATCGATCGCCTGAATCAAACGCACTCTTGAAATCGAGGAAAACACCTATTGTTGGTCTGCGGTATGCGTGGCGCTGCCCTGGCACTTGCCGCAAAGTGGATATATAGTCTATACCGCCATTTCCTGGGCGGAAACCAGCCTGCTCTTCCCTAATCCGAGATTCCCGTTCCGCAGTAAGGCGACGAAAGAGAACAGAATTGTGTATCAGCTTACACGCGCTATCTCTGAGTGTCTCACTGACGCCTGGTTTTCTGGGACCAGTGGCGCGGATTACCAGGAAGAGCTTATGGTAATTGCCTACTGCTCCTGCCTCCTCCATTTCTTGAGCCCTACTGGTCCACCAGGCTTCCTTGTCAGCATATAAGCTCTGCTTTAGTTCACGCCTAATAGTCCGTCATGTCACATTAGGTTCAGAGCCGGCCGGGATTGGTATTCTAGATTACAACAGGTTCACCGGCCTCTCGGATATCAATTGACTAATGCATTGACGATGGATATTGCCACAAGCAGATGCTCCTGCGTCGTGCATGGCGGCCGAGATCCTATTCCACTAAAGCTCAGTGTCCTTAGGACAGTACAGCGGAAGTTCGGTATGCAGTGCTTCTTGATAGGCTTGCCTGACCGAGAGCTGAGACAATTTCTCCGTTGCTAATCGTAGGGGACGCTTGGTGCGCCATCCGGTAAAGTTCATGGAGAAACGACAGCGTACCAAGGCACGATCAGAGTCGACGCACGTATTCCAGTACGAGCGGCAATCCAGGATGGAACCACGCCACCTGTAGCTAAGGTAATGTGATCAATTTGGATCCATCGCTGGCCAGCTACTGGGGGACGTCGGGTGGCACTTCGACGCCCACTGTGTCTAAAAGCAGTGCTACTAAGGAACAACTCCGCACAACTAAGCACACTGTTGCAGCAGACGGTCAATGTGGTCAGTCCGTTCGGAGTTAAGCCCACAGGTACCACCTATCTGAGCTTCTGAAGAGCTCAGACGGCCTACTTGCGCGTTCATATCCCCTGCATTTATTATACTATCTGAACTAGTAGCACTGCGTAGTTGCGCGTTCAGTTCGTGATAGAATGTGTCCTTGACTGCATTAAAACTGCAGTCGGTGGGGGCATACGCGGAAATCACAAACAAACAGCGTTGTTTACTACTTCGTGAATCAACCTTAGCTGATGTCGCCAAACGGGCTGCAGATAAACGGCTGTTCACCGGAACCCAATCAACCAACCACCAGCTTGACCCGTGAGTGCTGCAGCGGCGTCTCCGGATGTGTGCAATCAATAACGAGGGGATAAGCCGGGTGCAGTTAATTCAATAACCCCGTTAGGGTCAGTGATCCTAGTTTCGGACACACAACGCACATCAATACCCAGTGTATCCGAGGTGCCTGCAAGTGCAGCCTGTTGACCAGTTTGGCTTGGAGTGCGAACGTTGAATGTCGCCACGGAAACGAGATAGCGTGGCCCTACACGGGGCTTTTGCCGAAAGGCGTCCGATAGGTGCTGTGGGATGGTGGCTGCAGATGGTACTACTCCAGTAGCACTTCGGCTACTGTCAATTAATCTGGGAATTATAGAAGGATGGTTAGTAATGAGGGTCGGGATGGGAGTAAGCGAAACAGGTGGAAAAGAAAGATGGGGTGCGCCAGCAGTAGCATGTTTTCGCTTATCTGCCCTGCTGTATGCACCAGATAAGGCGACCCTTGATAATCTGCGTGACGGCCGATGCAGGAGGAAGTT